TTTTTCTTTTTTTTTTTTCCCTTTTCTCCCTCCTATTTATACTCCCCTGCTAAACATCACAACTATCAATTCCATCATCTATTTTATTTATTTATATATATTTAACTCAGTTATTACAGAATGATATATGTTATGCCACGTATGATAACAGGATAGTCGTAACGCTGCTGAAACTTAAAGCGGAGCGTTACAAAAGATATTATGTATACATATATAGATATATAAAAGTCAATATCCTATAATTGAATTTTTCGGGTCATAGTTAGATTTTCAAAATTAATAATGAATTCAAAATGTATTTAATTATTCATAAAATTATGAATATTTTGATATAGGTGTTTTGAATATTTTGTTTTAACGTTATAATAATTACTTAATTGATTTTAATAAAGATAATCAAATTAATTTACTTAAACTATATATATATATATATATATTATGTTGAATTAATTGATTTAGAATTGAAAATGCTCTATTTATGCATTTAATAATATATAAATTAAATAAAAAATTATTTTATATTTTTTAAGAAATTATTTTTATTATTTTTATCATTTGATAATTAAGTAATTAAACATCCAAAATTTTTATACTTAAAAACCAAAAAACAAAGTTTATTCCATAAGCCACGTGGAGAAATCTCGTGACTCCAAAGCTAGAATTTTTCTTGGGGGAAAAGTAGTCTCCCATCTTCTCTTCTTGGTAACCGTTGTTTCTTCTCTCTGTTTTCTCTGTAAACCCTCCCTTGCAAACCCTACATTTCATGCTTATTATTCAGCTTTATCTGCAATTCAATCAGACAAAAACGAGTCTCAGAGACCTATACATATTTGCTTCGTATCTTTCAAGCAGCTCAGGCGGCTGGTAAATTCGGCTCCATGGACGCGCGTCGGGGCTCCGTCACGGTGCCTAAGGTCCGCCAAGTGGGCTTCTTCACGCCCAATGCGCCATCGCAGACACAGCCGAGTAGGACTCAATCCTGTCCCCCAGAATCTAACTCTCCGCCGCTCTCAGATTCTCCTGCCAGCAATTCGCTCTCCCCTGTCATGATCCCGCCTCCGCGCCACCTCTCTGACAACCTCGCCTCCCGCGCTGCGCCGCTTCCGGTTCCTGACCATGCCTTCCGTCGGCATGGCTCTGGAGAGCACGCGCTGCCGGTAGGCAGTTATAACCCATCAGAATCGCTTCTGGGGGCCTCGCCGCCATCGAGCAGTGGCAGGCTTGTGGATGGAGAGTTCTCGGAGGATTCGAGCTCCTTGGGGTGGTTCCGCAGAAGCAATTCCGCTAAGTTCGCTTCGAGCTTTCCGAGCGGCGGTTTCAATCTGACACCGCAAGTGGTTAAAGCTCCCGAGAAATTACCGGCGGAAAATGCCGTTCCAATGAATTCGGAAATGACGAGGAGCATTGGATTGACTGGTATTGTCAATTAATATTATACTTATTCATGTGTTTGTGGAGTATGTATATGTGACTTGTGTTTCTGTCCTTTTCTTTGTTGTACATGTGTATCAATGCTGTTATAATTTGGAACGGACGTTGATGGGATGTTGATTTTGGTTACCTGTTGATTGAATTGGATTTAAGTATAAATCAATCAGTTTGTATATAGATTTGAATTAATTAATGGTAAGAGTATTGCTTAGTTCCTCCAAAAGGGAAATTGCTTATTTAAAGTCATGCACAGAGACTTCTTTACCAGTTATAACCCATAGCAACCTAAAACACAGTACATCCTGATCGTGGTATTGGTATGAAATATGGTAGAGTCTAAATTTAGGTTCTGAGGGGGTTAGGCTTAGTTGGTATGTTATTTTAATTTGCAGTCTCATTGAGTTCATTATTTGGATCATAAGTAATAGTTGAGTGGTACATTTTATTTTATTTGTTTGTGTTCTTTTTTCTAGGAAAAGTGGTTTAGGATTATCTTTTCCGATAACTATGACAAGAATTTCAAGACTCGTTAGTTTTTCTGAAAAGAATATCAAGACTCATTTATAGAATTTATCGAAGAATTTTAGTTTATTATGAGTTTTTAAAGAAGATAATCATATATTTTAAGTTCAAGAAATAGATCATTCCTTGGTGGCCTCTTTCTTTTTGCCTGGACACTTGAATCCTCCATTTAATCCATAACTAATCTCAATTTTGAAAGAGAGAAAGTTAGAATGTAAAAACTTCACTGTCTGTTTCTGTACCTTTCTTCTCTCGCTATCTGTGGAATGCCACTCTACAACTTGCATGTGATTCTTATTAATTCTAGGTTTAATTCTAGGTTGCTGATTTTTAGAGATAGAGATTTACAACCAAAATAAGCCAAAATAAACCCATACTACGAACCAGTTCGAAAAATTTTGGTACATAGACTGCCGGGGTTTTGGACTTTTTTTTTTTTGAAAGAAGGGGTTGTGTTTGATCTTGGTAACTATGTTAGCATTATGCTTTTGAAAAGAAAAGAGGGTCTGCATGATCTTGGTCGTAACTATCTTAGCATTATGCTTTGGAATTGCTTTTTCGTAACTATCTTGGCATTGTGCTTTGGAATACTTTTCAAGGTTTACAACTTATCCGTGCTGCTCAATAGTTACCTATTATCTGACTCGATTTTTGTCAACTTGTGGTTCAATTTTTTTTTACCATATTATTTCCTATTTAAAAAAAAAATCTGTACATATGTTTTTTGTCTGGAAGTTAAATTGTTTTCTGTGTCTATGTTGGAACCATTCTAGTCAATTGGAATATACTGGTATTTTGAAATGCTATGTGCAAATAACTTGCAGAAAAAAATGTGGGCCCTGCTGAACCAGCAAAAGAGCCACCATCAAGTTCCAAAACTCTGAAAGCTAAAACCACAAAAGCTGAACGGCGTGCCTTGCAAGAGTCTCAACGAGCTGCAAAAGGTTAGAGTATTCTTCTACTTGCACCTAGAGTTGTAAATCTTATGATGTTTCATTATGTAGTTCCTTGGTATAAGTTGCACTAGCTGTTTTCTCATGGAAACTGATGTCCCTTTTTAGCAACAATGACAATTTTGCCTAGGATTTAAATGGACAATAATCCGTAGGGTTGCTTTTCTGTTGTGGTCCATTTGTATGTGCTTTATGTTTCTTGGCTCTTTGCTTAGGTCTATATTTTACTTTGCAAATTGTGTTTTTGTGTATGATTTTTCTTTCTTGCCTGATTTCATTTATTATGTTTTCAGCAGTTAGGAACATAAACATTATCTTTTTGCTTGCTGCTCATTTATGGTATCTTTGAAAATGAGGGAAAGAAGGTCTGAGCTTCATCTGAATTTTTATTTGTCTAATTGTGTTTTTGTGTTGCTCTTTTTCTTCTTCCTTTATTTTGTTTGATAAAACATTAAACTATGTTGCAGCAATAAGGAACATAATAATGTAAAGCGAGTAGCGGGAAAACTAATGTGTACTAGCTTGAGGAAATTTAGGTGAGGAAAAAAAATATGTAGATGGGTAAGAGGAAATTGTAGGTCAAGGTGAAATATAGGAAGAAGTAGACTGAATTGGATAAGTTAGAAAGAACAATGACTAGAAGAACAAAATAAAGAGATAACAAGGAATAGAAACTTAGCAAAAGAATGCTTACCTCGTTATTATGTATGTGTCTTCATTGGATAACATTGGATAACTAATAGCCTTCGTATAAGCATTAGTTACAACCAATAAAGAAAATATAAACAGAAAATCTAAAAGATTCTAGTACCTATAATACTTGAAGTTCATGTTAATAGGAAACTAAAAGATAATAATATCTAAAAGATTCTAGTACCTATAATACTTAAAGTCCATGTTAATAGGAAACTAAAAGATAATAATATCTAAATAAACCTAAAGAAAGTTAAAAAATACAAAATAATAATAATGATTATGATAAGAACTTTTCAAATAAAAAATTTATTCCAAAATGATATCTTCATTTTGCATCACTTAAAGTTTTATATTTTTGCATGCTCCTCATTTATGTCATCTTTGTAGCTGAGGGAAAGAAAGCCCCAGCTTTATCTGAGGGGGCAACTTTTGGCAAACCTGTGAAGCAGCCTCCACAAAAGAAAGATAGTCCGTCTGTGGCCTCTTCAGCTGCAGCTTCTGAAAAGAAGGGAGTTGAACGTCCTCCAGAAAAAGAGAAGAAGAAAGATGTTCTTCCCCCACGCATGCAATTTGATGACAAGAGTCGAGTTGAGAAGGCAAAAAAGCGTGCTGTAGTCAAGCAAACTGAGGCTAAGAACAGAGTTGAATTGTTTCGCCATCTTCCTCAGTATGAACACGGGACTCAACTTCCTGATCTGGAGTCTAAGTTTTTTCAACTTGATCCTATGCATCCTGCTGTTTACAAGGTGTTTATTTCTTCAGCTACCTAGGAGCTATTCTTTGTTTGAGCTTGTGTCGTAGGACTTTCATCCTTGTCTCTTGGTTGTGTAATAAACATGGTCATGTATGCTGACAGGGGTACCGGGTACAGCATCTAGGTCATAAAGTTTAGCAGCCAACAGACTTAAAATTAACATCAAAAGGACTTAAAAGAATCCATTTTATGTTCTTTCTATGCTATGGCGCTCTTGTTATTATTATTATTTTTTGGCATTCAGGAAGTGTCCGAGAAGTCTCTTGTTACATGTTATGAATTCCTAATCAGATGTATAGCATCTAGAATGCACCTCCTCTGTGCCACTATTTTGAACTGACGCATAGATGTGTTTGTACAATGATCTTGTTTCATGGTAACTAAGACCTCTTTAGACCATTATTCTCCAAATCAGATCAGCACAGTGGGAAAACAATTTTCTTACTTCTAAATATTTCTCAAAATTTTGTCATTATTCAGTTTGTTATTTTGCCATCATCTTAACTAATGAATACTCTTGGAGTCTATTGGCAGTGAACTTCATATCTTGGCAGCGTGGATTGCTTTAATAATCTGAAGTAGGCATGCACCCTTTTCATTATTCTGATCAACAGCATATCTTTTCCTACAAAATCACCTTTTCCAAAAAAGGAAATCGACAAAATTCACTTGCCTGCTGCTCTGATGATGTGTTAATTAATGGTCTGTCTTTGGGTGTTAGTATTTCTACATCATTTACAAGTTCCTTTTTTTTTCGAACATGTTTTACAAGTTGCTTGATGTTGTTTATATGAAATCATTAGGTAGGATTGCAGTTCTTGGCGGGAGATATATTTGGGGGCAATGCTCGTTGTATTGCAATGCTTCAGGCATTTCAGGAAGCCATCAAAGACTACTCTGCACCGCCAGAAAAAACTTTAGCTAGAGATTTGGCTGCCAAAATTAGTAGCTATATCTCATTTTTGATCGAATGCCGACCGCTTTCTATGAGCATGGGAAATGCAATCAGGTTTCTGAAAAGCCGTATTGTCAAGTTACCTTTAACTCTTTCTGAATCAGAAGCTAAAGCTTCCCTCTGTTCAGATATCGATCGTTTTATAAATGAGAAAATAATAGTTGCAGACAAGGTGATTGTTAGACATGCTGCTTCAAAGATAAGAGATGGAGATGTCCTTCTCACGTATGGAACATCCTGTGTTGTGGAGATGATGTTGTTATATGCTCACGAGCAGGGGAAACAGTTTCGTACTGTGGTAGTGGACTCACGTCCGAGGCTTGAGGGCCAAAAGCTTCTTCATAGGCTGGTGGCCAAGGGTCTGAATTGTACATATACTCACATAAATGCAGTTTCTTATATTATGCATGAAGTAACGCGAGTTTTTCTTGGGGCCTCCGCAGTCTTGTCTAATGGAACTGTATATTCAAGAGTTGGGACTGCATGTGTTGCTATGGTTGCTCATGCATTCAGGGTTCCAGTTATAATCTGCTGTGAAGCCTATAAATTTCACGAAAGGGTTCAGTTGGACTCAATCTGCTCTAATGAACTAGGTTTGTCGGTGCCTACCTAAATCGATTTTTATGTTGGTCTTCTTTACTGCAATTCTCCATTGTTTGGTTTGTGGATGTCTTTACGTTGAGGGCATCCTTGAATTGTTTGCAGGTGATCCGGATTCCATAAGAAAGGTCCCTGGCAGAAGGGATGTAAATTATCTTGATAAATGGACCGAAAAGGATAATTTCCAGCTCCTGAGTTTAATGTAAGCTTCTTAACATTTTGTTTGCTTTCTATCTCTTTGAAAAGAAGGAAGTGTTCAGTCCTTTCTAAACTGAGTTAGTTGAGGATCTTTGGTTTGCATTTTTTTGGTCGAAGCAGCTTAGTGGCTCTTTTTGGGTATAAAGTCTATTTTGTCTTTCATGTTTTTTTTTTAATATTCTAATATCTTTCAGCATATAAGTATTCTTTTATCAAACCTTCATGGGAGAACATATTTTTAAGCTTCATGAACTTATAACCTCGCAACTGAAGAAATTGAACTCGTATAACCTTGCAACTGAAGAAATAAGTCCGATGAAGTGCCTAATTTATGTCTTATAAATGTCATAATGTCACAGGTATGATGCTACTCCATCGGAATACGTGTCTATGATAATCACCGATTATGGCATGGTAAGTTCTTTTCTAATAAAGAACCTTCTCAAACTTGAAACTTCTCAAACTTGAAGCTTCATGTATCTTGTTTTGTTCGTTTCATAGATCCCTACAACAAGTGTGCCTGTCATTGTGCGTGAATACCGGAAGGAACACTTGTTAATATAGAAATGTTTGGCGGTGGCTAGATCAAGGAAGCTTTTTCGTGCTTCAGTTTCTGAGGTGAAAGTCATCCTCTGATGAAAGCAAAACTTAGAATAGCAAAAGATAGAAGCCTTTTTTCTTAAAAAAAGTTTTTAAAATTTGAGCATGTACGGTTGTTAGGCATCATTTAATTTCAAATTGACGATTTTCTGATTTGTCAAATTTGCTTGAATTCGATATTCTTCTTCATGATTATGACTGGAGTAAGGACAGAGCAGTCCAAATAATTCTGGTCGTTCATGTTATTATCATGGTAAGGGGTTGAAGGCTGGTAACCGGGTTAATTTTTTTGTGGGAGAAAAAATTTACTGCAATTAATAGTTTTTGGAGTAATTAATCCGTTGCAAACTAAGATCACTAATCCCATTTGTTGATCTAAGCAGAGGTGACGTGCATTATATTTCTTATGTTAATTTTGATCGAAGTTATTCCAAAAGTCATTTCTATCCTTCTCAAATGTGATCCAAATTTTAGCTGGAAAAAATGGTACTCCCAAGATGATAATAAAAATATTATAAAAAAAAAAAATGTTGTTACAGGGTTAAAATAATGAAAATATTTTTTTTCATATTTTCTAAGTAAATTACTTTTTACCCTTAGTATATACGTCACTTCATGCTTGGTGATTGCTTCTGAGATCTTGCCATTTTCCCAATGTAGGCCGAGTTACAATCTTCAGATAGCAACTTTGCAAAGACGTGTTTTGAGAAATGAAACATCAAATTGACTTGAAAAAAACTTTGTAACACGAAAAATGTTCTTAAATTACTATATAAACTAACCACATTTGTCCTGTTTTATGGTTAGCATCCTACAAATTTGTTGCTATATATCGACGAATAAGTTTCATTTCCTACATACAAGGACTACCGAACAATGGATTCCCTCGCCGGGGACTGGTTGGGATAAGTTATCTGTTAAAATCATTTATCGCAGCCAAGGCACCATTTCTTTGATCTATTTTTTCACGTCTCTTGGCAAATCATTCTGTTTCTTATCGACACTGGTAGTACTATTGTCTGCTGCAGCAGCTGCTGCTAATTCCATCAACCTGTCATAGTCTATCTCAGTTGACTTGTATTTTAACTTGATTCCACCCTGTGTCCATGATCTGATGCAAAGGATAGCCTGTGTACTGTCCTGTGGCATGCAGACCCGTTGCTTGTCTATCTCATCGCCTATAATACAAAACAATTCTTGGGGTGCCATGCAAGTTGCCTGCACAGCCAGGAAGTCCCGAGCCATCGCAGAGAGCCGAGGGTAGCGAGTGCTGTTGAGTTTCCACCACTCCAAAACGTCTGTTGGTATTGGAGGAGAAGGCTCGGATAGATATTGAGTAAGCTCGTCAGTGGCATTGTTCATACTTGCTCTTCGTTTCTTTCGTGCAATTTCTTCTGCAAAAGAGACACCCCCTCCATCTTCAATCTCTTGAGCACCATATCCGCTTGTCATGGATGGAAAATGGCCAGAGGAATAGTTTCTCATGAAATGGCTCCTTGCTTCTTCCAAATAGTTTTCTAAATTGAGACTCTCAGGTATAAGCTCACTTTTGATTCGGGGATCGAGAATGGCCATCATGTAGGTGAATATGTTGCAGACCTGGCTGTTGTAATTTCTAGCCTTTTTGGCCATGTCTTCAGCAGCACTCTTGAGCCAATCTGGGTTGACACGGGATTCTCTGCAAGAGCAAATCATATCCGATACATGTTCCATGAAGAAGAGAACCAATCCAACAGTAGGAACTTTGTTTGTACATATGTCATTCGTGGTTTTGTAGAAAGGTTCTAAGTACGCATGCGTGATACTCACTGCGTTCTTTTCTGCAGGACTCAGCAGCAGCCTACTGCCCAGTGTGTCCTCGTACTTTCTGATAACAGCATCTACAGATTTACCAGCCTGTCTCATGAAAAAAAAATGCAATTCATCATTACGCCACATATAGAGAGGCACAGTTCAGACAGAAAAAAAAAATGCATACCTTGCATATAATATCAAGCATCTGGTAGTTGCCACTCCACCGAGTTGAACCATCAAGTGGAATTTTCCAACTGCCTTCTTGGAACGTTGTTGTTAGATTAACAAAGTCCTCTGACATTTCTGAGGATGTGTTTAACTCCTGTACAAACTCTCTTGTCTTAGAAATTATAGGTTTTATGGTTCTTAGTCCATCATCGATAATTAAGTTCAAAGTCCGAGCAGCACAAGGAATATAACAGAAAGGCCCCACTTTCTGAGCATCCAATTCCTCTTTTAGAGTATGACACGCATGGATGGCACCCTGGCTGTTATCATGGGTGCAGGATAGAATCTTATTTTCAATATTGTACATTTTAAGAACCCTCACCAGAGAATTATAGATCTCTGAACCTCCACAAGGGTATGGGACGCGGCATATATCCAGAAGCATTCTTTGGAAGGACCAGTTCTCATCAATCCATTGACTTGTTACACTCATATAGAAAATATTGTCATAAGAAGTCCAAAAATTGAGGGTGATTGAGACCTTAGAAGAGACCTGTTCCAAAGATGCTTTTACATCTTCCTGCATGCTCCTGAAAACTTCACGAAATACTGCTTTGTACTTCTCGCCGGGCCAGAGTTGTATTGATGGATTCAGAAATTTGAAGGAGTTTGCTAACCATTTTTCTTCTAAGGTGGAAGGAGGGAGAGACGCTAAAATCAGCCATTTTATAAGTAACCAGTTCAGGTGATCATAATCCAACTGCTGGTTTTTTCCTTGAGGTTGTGGTTTCTTCACTGCCACTGTTGCCTGTGGTGCTGAGCTTGTGATAGCCTCCCCAGCCTTTTCATATCCTGGGTGTCGATTACTAAGGTGCCTTCCCAAATTGCCTTCATGGATAAAGGGGGAAGATGGATGTTAATTGACAAATTAGCAGTCATGACATAACAGGCTCCATATTGTCCAAGTAAATTTGCTTCAAACTAACAGATCCTTGGAAAAAGTAAAAAAAAGGAACGAGAATCAAGTGCATATGATTACCTGTGGCAGTTGCTATAGAATAGCTTTGTCCACAAAACTTGCACCTCCGACTTTTCCCATCAGGAGCTGTTTCAAAATATTTCAGATAAACTGATGTCATGGTCTTTTTCCTTTTTGGAGGAGGAATGACATTTCCCTTATCTGAAGAACCAAGTCCAATATCTACTGGATCAATGCATGGAATAAGCGCCATATCCATCACTGATTTTGGTTCCATATCTGTTTCAGGATGCAGCCACAAAAAAGGTAACTTAAGATTCATATGAAAAGATTTGAGTATGTAATACTAGAAAAGTTGTTTAATACATGAGGATTCATAGTTTCTAAATGATATTTTTTAAAGATAAAAAGGGAAATATCATTAAGGGGTATTGCCCATATATATATATTTAGCAATCAGCATTCAAAAGTCTCTATGGTTCCACATATCTACATCATCAAGGATGTAAAGCATGTCAACAAAATACTAAGGGATTGAAACTAATAATCTTCAATTCTGGCAAAAGGAGAGCAAGTGCCCTCAAAACTTAGTCTCCCAATGATTAGTATTCCCACGGTGCTAGAAACAAAGCCTGAATAAACATGACAAATAGTTGGAAAGATCGGGGAACAGATTGAAGATTATTTTTTCATAGCACAGACCTATCTTCTTCTTTGTTCTTTTCCTCCCTTATCTGTTAATTCTGGAACCCGGCAATTTCGTCTGCTGCTCAATGTACTGACATAGGACACACTAAACCCCAGTTAAAAATAGCATCTTCACCATCAGAGAGTAAAACTAAGAACCAGTTTGAACTCCATGAGTACCTCTTTATTACTGTTATTATTTAAAACAAAGTTTAACTCCACATATCTTCAGATTCTTGTCTGATTTCAGCTCAAAATGCAGCAATGCTAATATTAAAAAGGCCATGGTACTATCCATCCCGGTAGTCTGATCTGTGTGTAGTCCCAATGATATATGCATATCTAGTTTATTTTTTGCTACCATCCACTAATATCAATGCGATCAACTTTTACTCCCAAGTCCAAGCCCACTCTATTGTGGAGAATTTCTTTAGCAATAGAGCATATGCTTTGAAAAGATCTTAGCTTCATTTATCCTAGTCCTTGATCAGAATAGGGGAAGTAAGAGCGAATTATTTTTCGTTATGAGCACACAAAAGATCTTACCTAAGCTGTCTAAGAAAACATTCTGATTGATAAGTTAAGATTACATAATCAAACCTCATAGATTATGTAAAAACATTATCGACATTATCACCTACAGAAATAATCATTCCATATAAACAACTTCAATCGAGTGCAGTGGA